AGAGAGAGAGAGAGAGAGAGAGAGAGAGAGAGAGAGAGAGAGAGAGAGAGAGATTTTTGTGTATGTGAGCGTTCAATATGGCATGTGATCAATGAGGCATGAAGTTTGTTTCAAAATAGAGCCTAAATTTGAAAACTGCTGGCATTGGCACAATGGTTGATAGGTTCTTTTGTGTTTTCTTTTTTTTTGTTTTTGATTTGTTTGTTTGTTCATTCGTTTTGTTTGTTTGTTTGTTTTTATTAGCAAGACAGGAATAGAAACTTATTAGAAAAAAAGTGGTTGCATTGCAAAGACTAGCCATTACACTACCGAATCTTGTACAAATGACAAGAGTAGTGATAGATATTCATTTTTTTAAATGAATTTTTTCACTTATTTTACCTTTGAACAATTTTGATGAAAAACACAAAAAGCAGTAGTCGATTTACAATAATGCTATCTTATCTTCCACAGAACGACGAGGTATCTTCTGCTAGTGAGGAAGAGGATACAGTCATGTAGTAAAGGAGAATGCTTTTAATGCTTACTTTTTTGCCCCAACATTCTGTGGTAAAGAAAGCCAGATGACTGAAGATCACAAAATATGCTGTAGAAGAGCCTCAACGCAAAAACATTATACTTGACGTTCAGGACAAACATTGTTCTCCATCACGCGCTCGCAGACACATACGTGATGGCTGACGGCATGTCTTTCAACGTTATCGTGGATTCCAAAAGATTAAATGTTCCAGAACGTGTGTCTGCCACACCAAGAGGTGAAAATGTTTCCCCAGATCCAGGGAAAAGTAAAAACGAAGAAGCTCACTTCGGGCAGAGAGTCATTCACGTCGCTGCTGCTACAGAAGATACACCTTCTGAGGAGATGTTTCAAGCTGTGTCAGACGGGTTAACACATGTGAAAAATAGAGATGCAATCGATACTGAGAACTTGTTGCTTTTGGAAAAAATGACCAATGCTAAAAAAAATCGTAAAATTTACACCGGAGGAGAAGTTTTCTCTGATGATGACGTTGCACATGATCAGGATCCGCAAAACGATCCCTCCGCTTTGATTTTCCAGAAAGGCCCTTCGCGACCGCCAACAGCAACCCAGTTTGCACGACTTTGCAATTTTCCCGTCCGAACTGAGAGGCCTGAATTGATAAAGAGAAACCCATTCACGGAACTTGAACTTCCATCTGGGTTTACTCTTGGTGCCAATAGTGACCTTCCCTCACTCCAAAATCAGCCCGTGAAAAGCAAAAGTCTAGTAAAGGGAGAAAATAACAATGAAACCAATAGTAACTCACTTGTTCAGGAAGGAGATCAATCCAGAAATATGGACATAGATTCCTTCACCACCGAAAAGCAAAGTGTTAGCGTAGATGTTAACAACGACAGCTTGGGAGAAAGACAAAGAGATGAAACATCTCCACTAAAATCAGTGAACATTGAAAATGTAGAATCTGTGGCGGAATCAAAAAGTGTCGAAGTTCCGTGCATTGTGTCGATTTCAGTGAGAGACTTAACGAAAACAAAGGATTTCTATGTCATCTACTTTGACGACCTTGAAACGGTTAAGGGACAGTTTGACGAGTCCACCATGCTGATAGATGGTTTGCAGCTGAATTTGTATATGGAAGTCAGCAGTAACAAAGGTATGATCTTTAGTTTTATAGTCAAATTTCTCCTCCTCCTCTTCCTCCTTTTCCTCCTCCTCCTCCTCCTCCTCCACCTCCTCCTCCTCCTC